CCATCTCGCCCCCACCATCTCGCCCCTACTTTGCCATCTCGCCCCACCATCTCGCCCCAATATTATATATACGAAGATTACTGTTGAAATTCACGTAATAATATGAATTTCGGCTGTCAATTGTGTATAAGTTTCGACGCGACTTGGACGTGAGCGATCACCATTATGCCTGACTACGACCAACGATAATAATTCACTTTTGATATTCGATTCAATTTCTCTTGAGTTGTTTGCAGTGAAACTCTAAAAGAAATCACCATGTACGTGTATTTGAAGTTAATTTACAAGTATGTCAAGTATTTCTATCAATTCAGATAATCAAATGAACGTGATGTCAGTCGTGATGACACAACGTTAAGTAAGACCAATAAGCCGCCATTTTCTAATTTCTTCGATAAGCCTCTCGATGATGTCCCGCTCGAACGGATCATCACACTCCCCCCCCCTGATATAGATAAAATAATTACCTGGTTTTCATGACAAGGTCCCTGGCAATACTCTGTCAAGCTATCTAGACACTGATTGATTAATCCAACATTGTTTTCATTAATATAAAGACCAAGTAGACCAAGCCCTCCTGATGTGCTACCACAAATACARTCCAGAAATTGCAGGGTCTCATGCACTAGGTTGTAGTTAGTTTTATTATTATCTTGTCGACGAATGTAGTTCTGAAAAACATAATAGAAAAGCATTATTTTATAATAATTCATGAAATGAGAATACAATTAACTTTTAAATTATTTAAGAAGACAGGATAAGTACCTAAACTTAAATGCAAAATGGATTTAAATAAAGTCAGGGAAAAAAAATTAACCAACATTTTGTATAAGGCAGAWTTAGTTGACACATGTATTGAAAGACACACAGACACAAATGTTGTGAGTCATACCTGAAGATCCCTGTTGTGGTTCTCACAGAGAAGTTGTAGAAAGCGTAATATTGGTTTCATAGCAATGACCTCTGGYGCCATTGTCTTAGAGTCACCTTTACCTGACCCACTACCAGGAAAACCAAGGTCTGAGCCAAACCCACTTGTTGAAGGAAATCTGAAGAGATACGTCATATTATTCATCCATTCATATGATACAGTCAATCTCATTAATAAGTATAACGTTGTTCAGTTTTCAAGACATAAAGACAACAACAAAGTCATTTGTATATTTCTTTGTAAGAATATTCATAAATTACATAAAGTTCCAAAAATGTCTTTACAAAGTCAATAACATGAATTTGTTACTTATCTTAAGTTTACAATATCATTATAATATTCATTAAAATTCTTCCTATTTAGCATGCAAATGGATTTGTTGTTTTGCTATATGTCTTTACATGTGATGAATGACATTTATTAAATTAATTGTATACCGGTAAATAGAAACTCTAGAGGCTGGGAAATCAAATTTTGCATCATCATTTTGAAGATTTTTCATTTGGATTTTACCTCTGTGATACATCAGTGTCAGCATCTGGTTCTCTACTTCTTCTTACAGCAGCATAAGCTTTTCCTGTGTGTGATGCTGCATCTACYAACTGTTCACGAATTTCTTCACTGATTCCTGTCAAAGAACCTAAACGAGAAGAACTTGTCTCAATATTAACATGAAGACATAGTCATCTTTAAGTCATAACCTAAATTATAAGCTTTTCTTAATTTGTCATCCTTAATTGTCATTGATGAAGATCATTGTTTACAATGTTTCCTAAGTGTCATAATATTGATCATTTGTTTTTGTTAGCCACTGAAACCACAGGGATGGGTGCAAGGATTTTATTCTTAGATAATATAATATAATATCATACTTACTAGTTGATAGTGTGTCCCTTCTTCCACCTATAAATACTCCTCTTTTTGCATCATCAGCTTTGGTATCTTTTTCAGTTTTTTTAGGAACAGTTTGTGTGCTCTCAGATGTTTGCACMGTRACRTTGGCTTTGACTTCGGCTTCTGCTTCAGTCATTTTGTCCATCAAATACTTAAAGAAAGCCTCACAGTCCTTGTCTGTCATGAAGCGATGGAGAAAAGATCTCTACAAAAAAAATAAAACATATTGCAATCAGTTGAAATGGCAAACCCAAACTACCACAATCAATCCAAAAAGCTGTTTTCCCATGATGTTTTTAATGGAGAGCAAGGCAAAGGTGAGAAATTACCACTTTCCATTGCACATGKACATTTGTGCAGCCTACAAAAGCATACCTAATAAATGGCATTTCAGGGAAGGATTGAGGCAAGKATTGCTTACAGTGCTATAACATACCTGGATAACAGGGTTCCCTCCCTCAAGTAACGCAATTGCAACCTCCATAACTTCCTGGAAAATCCGATGATTTGGTGATGTTGTTATCAAATCAACAATTAAATCAGATAGACCACATGCATCAAGGTGGCACTGTAATTCAAATAGAGTGACGCCAGAACGAGACAGAAACGTAGCACCAGGGCCACTGTTACAGGAAGGGAGTTGTGACCCTTTTTTAGCGATGTTTGCAGCAGGAATTTTCTTCTGATCACGTGACATTGAATAGTTGGTTCCATAGTAGCGCTTTAATAAAGARACTCTAAGGGTTTCACCCTATTGGATTAAGAAATATTATAATAAGATTAGCTTGTACTTTTGATGGTGTTTGGAAGCATGTGATGTATACCTTTTCACCAAAGTCAGCATCTCGAGCCATCATTGCTCTTAAAGTTTGCAATACAGAAATGCAAAGTGCTTCTCCATTGTTTTGAAGCAACTGCTTTGTGTGACTTACTAACCTGGAAACACATAGATTTGAGAACAATATGACAAAAATAAAAAAATAAGACAGCTTTATTATAAATGTGGGGCATAACTAAACTGCAACCACTGCATTAATATGGCAGATCTAATAGCCATAGGTTGTCAGATCAGACAGCTTTGTAACACCTTTCAAAAATTCTGTTTTCCTTTCTTGAAATAGCTATTAATTCTAACATTTGTATTCAATAAAAAAAAGAATATTGTTTTAAGCTATTTTTGATTATTTTTCTTTTGGAAATTGGAGGAGAGGAGAAAAGGAACTTAAAATATTAAGATAACAGTAGAAAAAATAGTGAAGCGATAAGACTGAAATGGCACTCACCTAGAAACAAAACCACCATCTCCTGCTTTCTGCCTGGCCTCTGAATGACCAGGAAACATTAGTTCAGGTCTGTACAGCACATCAACCAGTAATGATGACTCGGCTTGTATGAGAGGTCGAAGTTGATCTTCTAACAACGATACAATGTCCTGAAAAAATAGAAATGATTATCACTTCAATAACATGTGCATTTTGCAATTCTTGAATGCTTGTACCTGGAATACTRATTACGGACAAGAATCATTTAATCAGTGTATACATGTAGATCCCAAATTCTGCATTTTGACCAAAAAAAAAACAAAACAAAAAAAACAACAACAAAAAACAGCAGTACCACTAGACCCTGTATGTCTCAATTTAGGTTTATTTTGTCACAGTCTGTAGTTACATGTAATTAGAGCCGTTGCACATGCTTGTCCCAAGTTTTTGACTCTCTGATCACCAATTCAAGTCCAKGTCGCTTATTGGAATTTACCACTAACATGCCATCACTCTATTGCKCAACAATTACCTGGAGTCCTTCAATGATACTTCTGTAGTCACGTGACAAGTGCATTGTCGATTCCCGTCGTCCCCTTCCATGACTCAGCCACTGACGTGTATGTTTCATAACAAGCTGTGATCGAGTAAAAAGGGCCTGGATCTGAGTCTCKAGGTCACCTGGTATAGCAATCCCACGTGTCTTTGCTGCAGAGAGACAATGGAGTTTTAACATTCTCTYTCTTAATTCAATTTTGTTCTCCTTGTATATCTAAAGGTCTGGAGGAAAGGAAATGAAATGAAGGACCAGAGGAGTCTTGGACAAAAAGAGGCCGATGACATGCATAGGACAGAAGAAAAGATTGAGCAAAGAAAGAAAGCAGGTGGGACAGTAAGGGAGGATGGCCAAAGGTATCTGCTAGTTGTCATGGTTACCTATATCAGACAGGGCTTTAATGCATGCTTCGACATGATACTTCTGAGATCCTGACAACCATGAACACTGGGACACTCTAAATGCACCACGGAGAAGTTTGACAAATACTGGTTGACGTGCCTAAAACACAATCATTATCACAATCATTATCACAAGTGCATATCAGGGGGTTCTAGGTATTCTCCCCCAGAAAATTTTGAAATGATTATACAACTTTTGGAAATGCGATTTCCAGCATTTTGAGGGGCACAGAGAGCATAATTATTATTTTCAATTAAAATACACCAAATTTATGGACTTGGCAATGAGAAAAGGCAAAGGAATTATTGAGCCTCCCCAAAACGTTCTCGCGCCCTCCCTGTGAAATACAATACATAATGTATCATACCTTAATAGTTGTGCTGGCATCAGAAAAAGGTGAGTTGAAGAAGAATGTAATTAGGTTCATGATGGTTTCAGTCACATATTTCTCTAACATACTATCCACATGTAGACGGTCAACTGAATTGCAAACCTTCGATTAAATAATAGCCCCTGGTCAACAATATTTCTTATACAGCCAGTTGAAAACTTCAAATTTATTTATTCTTTGGTACAGTTACTTAACAATTTACACAAAATAAAACTTACTCTGGCCATGTCCACAAGAAAGTCTTCAAACAATGTCCATATATGGTTGCTTGTGTAGATTTCTTTCATCTCGACTTCAGTATCCACGTAGCAATGATTCAGGAAGTTCACATACGCATTCTTTACCTGAACAGAAGGCATTACATTAAATATGTCAAGTTCTGTTTCAGTAAAGAAAGAAAGAACAAAAAAACTGAACAACAACAAAAAACAATTCATGTTATTATAATTTCAATAATGGGGGATTATTCCATCGATACACTAATAATTTGAATCTGTAATTWTTTCTTAGTTGACAAGATTTTCATTGTTAATGTATTTGGATTTTACATTTGTAACTTCACTATTGCTTCACTAAAAGTGGAAAAAAAAAGGTGCAATTATATACGAAGTAAATATAAACAATATTATAACAAAAGAAGCAATCTTCATAATTTATAATAATATACAGCTGTAAGTAAAACCTACTACATGTACATATGATTCAAATAATATGTTTAATGTCTGGGCCGGGTTGTTCAAAGCTCGATTAGAGCTAATCCTGGATTACTCTTAGAAAACCTAGGGAGTGAACCCAGGATTAACACTAATCAGACTTTGAACAACCCAGCCCTGAGGAGAAAATATTACATTTAAATTGTTCAGATTTCCATTGTTTTCACAGCAMGCTATCCTGTACTGTCAATAAACTGTGATGTTATTACACTATAGTGCAATTGCTCTTCCTCTCAAAAGCAGCTGTACTATAAGGATTACAAAAAATGTGCTTCATAAATTTCCTACCTCAGAGATACAATCATGATGAGTGACAACCCTGACAATGTCATCTAGAGGKAGCAAACTATGRCACTTGATCTCAGTGTAGACATTYTTCCCTTCAGTACAACAAGCCAAAAGCTGAACTAAGTTGATGTGGTAAAGAAGTGATCCTGATTCATCAAGTCTTTCTCTCTCTGACTGCATCATTTCAATAAAGTTGTTRAATGCTTGAGTCTCACTGTAGAATACCAACACTTCCTCGCCAACATTAACCAGCTGAAAAATAATATACACAGGAGTCGTGAGGTGTGAATTACAAGACCACTCTCTGTGAACATGAAAAATGTCAACTTATTTGGGTTTTCTGGTTTTCATTTCACCACATTGCAAATGTCTTTGTTCCAGTTGAACAAAGAAATGCCTGCTCCATTGAGGATATGAACAAAGGATACATGTACACTACTGTACACTACGCTTCTTTCCTAGAAAACTGTGAATCATGTCTGATCTACATTCACTGTATATTTACTGAAATACAACAAGGATATGATTGAAAGGATAGAGAGTGACATAAACTATTGGGGCTGATTGTAAAAAGGATGAAAAGCGTTATCCACTGGATAAATCTTTATCATTCTAAGAAGTGATTTATTGCAGTTGATAGCTTTATAAATTATCCACCCTTCGAACAACCAACCCATGTATTATGCTTATCAATTAAATGAATCAATATGTAAAATTGATATTTACAATACATGTTGTGTTATTATATAGTGTTCTAAACTAAGGTCAATATTCAAATCAATTCATGCAAGCCATGTTGTGTACCTCTGCCATGACAATATCCTGTGTCTTTCTAATGGACTGTCCTTCTGCTTTGACTAGAGTCTGCAGCAGTTTAAGATATTCAACATGGCGACCTTGAGACTCAATACAATGTACAATGTGCTGTACAACTCTTTCTGTAACCTCGTAGCACAGCGCAGAGTTGTCTTTGAATATGTARCGTAGTGTTTGGGCTTCATGAAGCTAAACGTTAAAAGAAAAATATATAATTAAATGATAAAGAAAATTATCCCTAAAACATGTCTCCAATTTATAAAATCAAGACACTTTATTTTATACATACTATGGATTGATCAACTCACCCCAGGGGTAAGGAAGAGTTCTAGATGTTTGTGAAGCAATGAYTGGTTYTGTTGATTGCCAAGACAGAAGTTTTGTAGAAACTGGTGGGCCAAGACCATGATGTCTTCCATGCGAACATCTTCATTCTAACAAGACAGATAAACAATGGACTACAAATGCTTCATGTATAGACTGCTATGGATTACKTATTGATCCAAATATAGGTATCTAATGGATCCAAATAAAGGATATAYATTATACAGCAAGAGAATGCATTAAGTAGATACCTTGGCATAAGGGATTTGTAAGAGTTCTAAGACTACAGTATGTGCACCCATGTTGCGCAGCAACCTCTGTTCATGTTTACGGTTCTTCTTGACATCGTCAGGYCCATAAGATATGCACAGTGAACTTAGTCGTTGAAGAATCTAGAGAGCCAAGAATCACAAGCAGTGAAGAGATGAATTATCATCAGCATCTTTAAATTAGAGTAGACTCTCTACATGTATGACACTGTGCACAGTAAACACAAATAGTGTGGTGCAGAACATTGTCTGGTTTTAAACCAAAGATAACAAAGAGTATAATTACGATCATGCTAAACTCAATTAGCCAATTCATATTATGGTGTCATTTACTACAACTACCAGAATTATTTGCCAACTTTCTTTTGTAATGCAATTAGTGCCAAGAATTGTTTTCTTAATTTCCAAGGGGATTAAAAATCTGAATGACAATGAAAATGCGCAAGGCTCTCTGGTAGTTGTAGTAAAGTTACGCCATAAATGGCCTATTATAATTGAAAATTACTTTTTATCATATTGACTAGACTATAAATTTGTAGCTCTCATAACAAGGTGCAGATAAAGTGATTTATAACCTACTACGGAATTTATACAAATTCAAATAAAACATCACAAATTATATCAATTCAACAGATTCTAAATTATAAATTGCTTTTGTTTAAACTTACAGCTTCAACGTTTTTGTAGTTTTTCAAAGTCATGGATTCAGAATGCTCAACTTCCAGYTCAATAGAATTGTCACTGGACAACCGTTTTCGCATTGACTGCAAAACAAGTTCAAAATAAATTTTGTAAATGACAATACAAATTGTAAATCTAGCCAAGTGAAGAAATTTATAATTTTCTTAAAAAGAAAATATCATATAACCACAAGTACCCCTTGACATAAGTCATTAACATCATCGCTTAAATCTCAACGCCCACATTCAAACTCATTCGACATGGATTTTGGACAAACATTCAAACTCATTCATTACTGATAAAATAAATTGAATTGATTGTAGAGGAGCCTAACACAAAATAAATCACTGAGGAAGAAAATAAGAGCCTCTGATTTTTCAGTGCTCTAGCTCAGTGACTTGCACATGCAAAGAAAGCATTCCTAGTAATTCATCCAAGCTTCATGTAAATTTTTATTATCATCATGATACAATACAACTAACATCATTAACTTTTGATTTATTCATATTGTCAGTAAATCAACATACCTCATCGGAGTCACTATCCTGAAAACAAACAAAACACTTGAATKGCTCAATATAAATAACAATAAACTGCCATCAACCAGAGGGTAGTAACATTGTACTGATATATGACTTATAGTATTATTACAAAATAATTAATTAATGATTTCTGCTTGGATTGGTAGAAATAAAGATGGCAGTAAGTACAGGGAATAAAGTTGATGCAGTTGCCACTGCATTTGCCTGGGTTATTGCAGATAAAATGGTGACATATACTTCACTTCAAAAGTGAAAGCTGCTCTCACCTCTCTGTTGTTTTTCTCAATCTGAGGCATATCTTTATCAATAGTTTCATCCTTCGTGTCCTTGATTTTATCCTTCTTCTTGTCTTTTTTCTTTTCTTTGCTTGACGGTGACGGAGAGACAAGATCTTTTTTACTCTTATAAACCCAAAGTTCAGACTTTTCTACAAGAAGTCTCAGTTCATCTAAATCTGTTTTGATTTGTTTGTAGTTTTCAACATCACTAGTAGACACCAAAAGTTGGACCTACCAAAGTGTAAAAAGGAAAATGAAATAATAGTAAAAAACACGTTCACCTATAGTCTGGACCATTTACTTTCTCTATATTTTAGTACTTTAAACAAGTTAAGCCTGCTTTTTATTACATACATCACTCATGCAATAGCCCTCTGGCTTCCTAGAAAAACCTGCTTAACTGGTAAATACCTGTTTAAAAGCCTGTAAGACTTCTTGTCGCTGGCTGAAATGTCTCATAAGAAGCTGTARTGCACCTGTAACTAGAGGGGGGTAGCCATGCATACACAAATACAGAAGTACTCTTAGGAAGGTACGTCCYCCCTGACCATCAAGGTCAAGGTCAATATCAGATGAGCCCCTGTAACCAAATAAGACATGCTCATTAAAGAGTAGAAAACAATGGAACAAATGAACATAGTAAGTTTAATTAGTAAGTGCTACAATCTTGACTAATAGTATTATTTTTATATTGCACACATTTAGTGAATGCACTCTATAAGAAACTACTATAATATAATAATTTACTAATTAATATGATCATAACCAAAATATAATAAATCATAGAAAACGATTATTGTAATGAAGCTAGTAGCAAACACCATTAACTTACAAAGAACCTCCAAAGATAGCTTCAGCTTGAGCACTGATGTTTTCAAGATCAATCCCTGATTTTAAAAGGAAATATTAGTCAATATACTACCCCCCTTCCAATAATATAGAAAAAAATCTTTCCCCTCTCTCAACTTTCTTTTACACTTTTAAGAGTTTTACTTATTTAGAATTAATTTTAATTTATTTTTTTGCAAAAGCATCCCATTCATTTATTTTTCACTTTATTGTTTATTTTCCTCTTTTGATTTCATGATTTCACCTTCATTATATTCTAAATGTTAAAGTAGGTTTTGTCAACAACCCTGCTCATACTTCAATTTCATAGGATAACAGATGCAGCCAAGAGTTGTATTCTTCTCATTTTCCCTTTCATTTCCCATCCATTTCTAGCCTGTCATTTACTTTTTGTTTTTTGCCTTTACAACTGTCCTCAAAATCACTGTCAGTGGTTTGAAAATAGTGAAACGTATATAGCAGTATATAATAGGTCACTCTATTCAATAATTCTTACTGCTCAAATCTACTACATGTACTTTCAAATAAAAGAATTACATGCTTTTGAAAACAGCTATAATTCCAGAAGACAGTTTAACACAGTTTTACATGTTTAGTATTTATTTTTAACATATTGTTTAGTAAAGTTTAACGTGTTGCACATACACGTGTGTGGTGCTARGAAGTGGGGAACTCCCGCCTCGTCAATTTTACATCGTTTTTTCTTGCCTGGAACAAAGTTGGAAGTTAGTATCACATGTTAATCACTGGTTAGTAGAGCAGATTTCATATCACTGTGCAAAAAGCAGTTAACCTTCATGCAATACCATGGAAATGCATCTTCAAATTTCTTGTTTTTTATTTGGAATTACTAGAAGGTGAGGTTCTGTGACAGTGTGTGTGGCGTCAGCTGTGCAGTGATCCATGCTGTTGAACAGTCATAAGAAATCCACTCTATCATTTGATGAATACCACAGTCAGTGTTTTTAGTAGAGACTAACATTGATACCATATTTCATTAGATTAGGTGTACATTTTAGGTCACTGCAGGTTTTGGTTAATATAATGTAATTCAAGGCCATGATTGATCTATCTTGATTTAAAGGGGCTTTGAATGCCACATAAGCCTGTCTACATCTGTTTCTCACCCCTCCAAAAAAATCAGGGATATTATGTCTTATTTATACAATCATATTTTAGAAACTTGAAAGCGACACGACAAGGCAAAGTTAAGAAAATAATGGTTTAAGAATAATATATCACTGTCATAACATGGTATGGTCTTGGCATGAAAAAGCCATGTTCTTTGAATTTCATATGAAATCCACTCTAATGTAATACAAAACAGAATTTAGTACATTTTTAAATCATTTCACTGCTACAGTTTTATATTTTTAAAATGAGATTTATGTCTAATAACATTTTGTAATTTTAATTCTTTGAAGGATTGTAAACATGTACTGTAAGTGTGTGTGGGCAATGTGCTATGGATTTCTTTCAAAGTTCATTGACATCACAACARCAGCATACATACCTGTATCACCATCAACTTCACCAATATTTGCATTACTTTCATCAAAGTCTTTTTTGAATATCGTCAGCAAGCTAGAGATCCTGTAGTCCAGCCGTACATTCATAATAAACTCCAAGATCTCAATGACTTTCAGCTTGGTTTCCATGACAACATGGTCTGTGTCCCCCTCCACTTTGGGACCWGAATCAGCATGCTTAATGAGCCCCCATGGATCTAGGCTCCCACCAAAGGCAACCCTTGTCATAGCTGCCCCTAGACTATGGATGCTTTTTGTGACATCCATCTTGTTAGCATTTTCTACAATACAATTAATATGAAAAATTAAATGGATGTGCATGTTGTACAATTGAAAACAGTAACAACATTTCAACTTGTAAAGAGATGATTGAGACTACTTCCATGTTGAGATAAATACAAAACAGATATRCCTTAAAAAGGCTGGAAATAAATAATTCTGGTAGAACATTTTCCAAACCATTTATTAGCCTAGAAAGGCAGTTCTCATCCAAGAATCACTTACCATCRCTTTTAGCAGGATGTTGTATTCCTGCATAGCCACGCTGCTCACAATCCAGGATAGACAACAAAGTYTGAGTAAGTCTTAATAAATCACTGAACCCATAGAAACCAAAATAGATTAGGTTTCTGGCTATCTTCACAACCTGAAAACAAACATTTGAAAGCTACATTATATGTATCAGCAGTGACAACACCATAAAATGGAAAAAAAACTTGAGTCAAATCTTTATCAAAATTTGATCAAATATTGAGACATTGTATGAATTACCTCAAATGTTAATTTGTTCTGTTCTTTGTCATTAAATGCAAAAACATTGCTGCTGATATTGTGCAGATAAGTTTCCACAAATTGAATGACGCCTTCAAAYCTTTTCCTGATGTCCTCACGTTCTTCCCCAACAGCTTCATGCTGATCATAGCTGAAAAGAGATACATATTTAATCCAATTCTTATCTGATGGATAAAGCTTGGAATCTATACATCCTTTATTTGCATTTTCATACAATAAAGATTTATTTATTCATTTTAGAGGTGCAAAATTAAGCAGCTTTTTGCATAAGAATGTGACAAGGTCATGATTCCCATGTTTGGAAATTGCGTGAGCGATCACGTTTGTAGTGCGCGCCTTGCGCAAGTAAATCAGTTCTGCTCCAGATTCGGTCGTGTTTGGTTGTGTTTTCTCTCTGTGTGTTATCTTTCTCCAACAACTTATATCGAACCTACAGCAAATAACTAGTAGAAAATCATCACTTTTCAACCCGGTCACAAGAAGATTACAAAATAGAAGCAGTACTTTATAATAACAAAAGAGTGATACATACACATCTATGGTCATTCCCTTAGGTATCTCAGTCCATAGTCGGGCATACTTGACRGGTGTGACAGGTTCTTGTGGATCACGATCAATGTGCATGTGAAGCATAAGACGACAAAATGCAGCTCTTAAATCACATGAAAACTCCTTGTCAGCCATACACCTAAAAAGATAAAGAAAGAGAATATCTTACAACTACAACTTATTRAAAAACTTTATATTATTAAATAGAATTTTACCAGCTATTTTACAAGTTTGTTACCTGAGTATCAAGTCWACATCAAGCTGTTTACTAATGTTGTTGATAGCCAAATACTGCCTGTCCAGACACATCTGAGAAAACAGATTTAGTTGATAACGATAGTAGTCAAGGATTTTGATGTCTTCTTTGATCATCATTCGAGCTCCTTTAGCAAGGTCTCGCTGGGATTTTAGATGTTTCCCAGAGTCCCAAACCAGATACAGTTCACCATCTATCAACCTGTAATCATTACAAAATAATATATTAAATATATGCTTTTTCTTTGATTTGATGAATACGCAACTTTCAAACTGAGAATCAAGATCATGATGATGTTAAAATATCAGCATCCAATGACTTTAATGTTTCTACACACCTTGTTTCTATGAGGAGATCAGAGTTTGCTGGATGGAGTACTGTTTTACAGATCAATTCCTGYGTTGCTGGGATGGCAGTGTGGTTTGATACACATAAATCAGACAAGTAATCTAAAAACCTTTAACAGGAGGTGGGAAAAAAAAATACCAATTAAAATAAATATCTAAAAATGCAGCTTGTGATAAGCACCATTGGTAGACAGCCTTGYCTGATAAAATGATGTTGTTTTTGTGTGAAAATAAAAATAATAAAATATAAAAAAATGGATAAAATGGATGAATGGAAACCAAGTCTATGTTAAATTCTGACTTTCCAAAAACCAGTAATGACAGGCCAAAAAGTTGATAAAAAGGTGATCTTGATGTGTATATGATAATGTCCACCTAAAATTTCAGTCCATTAMAAGGTAACCACAGTCTAACCATCTATATGTAGCTCTTATGCCAAGGTATGTCTACCTGTTCAAAAATGACACACTTTATATTGTCAAGGAGACAATAATTAAGTGAATTTGTACATTATTTAGTTCCCTTTCTTTTACCTGCATTCCTTCTTCTTTCGCACCAAGCTGACAAAAGTTTCAATTTCTGTTCGTGTGATGTGTTTTTCTAAGAGTTTCCTGTTATTATGTACAAGGTCAGTGATTGTGTCTTCAGCAAGAATATCATATCCAATCTGAGCTTGCATGAATCCAAACTGCTTTGCAATGTATTCCTACAACAGCAAGTTAGACAATAAACACTGATAACAGCYAGCTTGGAAGATCTGATTTTATTTAGAAACTGGTTCTCTAGTSTATAGTATACCTGGTTTTTGCGATAGTCCTGCTGYGAATGTCTCATAACACGATAACAGAGCCTAAAGATGTGYCTCAAWGGAGCATTGCGCTGGTCAGCCAGTTCCTCTATCTTCATTAAAGGACCACTGCCCTTGTCGTTGAATGGAGCTTTTAACAGATTGAATATCTACACAAGAGATAAAGAACTGTCTTGTGATATTCACAAATTTGTAACTTAAATTCAAATGAAAAAGTGAATGATAATTATATATTTTTCCTAGCTCCAACAAAGTACAAAGCCTTAGAAGGGTGCTTTTCATTTAGGCAGAACTGGCCAGCCAGTCCACTCTATTTAGAGGTATATAATGCTTTTTGTCAACATTTTTCAGTCATTTCGAGGTTTTCTGTAGAATAATGGGTAGAATTTGAAAATTTGAATTTCCTAACTAAATGGGAATGGTATATAATGACATTTTCTCTGGGCCTGGCCAGCCACTTCTGACAAATGGAAAGCGCACTTAGTAACCTAATGGCTAGAGAGGTTATTGGATTGGTCAGATAGCTCCGCAGATTGAATCTAAAGTACATTCACCTCTTTTAGTATATTTTGCTCTCTCATCAGTTTCTGGCGATCTCTGTTCGGTGTCTCTACCAGAATGTTAAGGATATCCTCACCACTACTGTCATGTTCTGTTACAAAGTACACTAGGTCCATCAGCAACTGGGTAACAAACCTTTTAACCAATCAAAACACAGAGTTGTATTACTATGGTAACAACATAATATTATACCAAYGGTCTATTATCTGTTGCTATGACAATGAACTCATGACAACCTAATTCCCTCTCAACATACAATACTGACCTTCGTTCATGCTGTGTGTAGTTCCCAGTCTCTAGTTTCTTGGCAAAGGAAGCCAGTACTTTACTTGCATCATTAGCAAAATCCAAGTCTCGGACTTCTAAWGGTGGCACRGGGACAATGGCAAAGGCTTCTTTATCTTCTTTGATATTAGCTGTGCCAATCTACAATACAATCTACAATAAGTATTACAKTCTATCTTAGTATTAAAAGTATCAGATGTTGCCATAGTGATTATTGTGTGGAACCACCTTAAGCATGACAGGTCTTTCTTCTCCCTTGTCTATGGGGATTGACGTTGAATGAACCCAAGTGTTTGAACACAGATGACGYAGGCGAACGTAAGAACATCTGTTATGTAAAAAGATGAGAACAGGAATGAAAGTTTTATAGATGCAGACCATAGAGTGACTGAAAGAAAATAAACTGAATGGGTGAAAAAATTGCATAGAAGAAAATTGAAGAGAGACGAGAAATTAAGTTCAGTTACAACACTTCAATGAAGCTACTACAAAAAGCTCTTTATAATAAATTCTTTATTTATAATTATTATTATGTTATATTAATCGACTACAAATCAAGGGCTTTTCAACACAGGTAATCCAATATCATATGCCAATCATATTACAAAACAGTTGATATTGTTGGTCTATTTTTCTCTCCAGCATCTGATTTGACATATTATTATTATTTTAGCCATTTTGATGTTGCTGTAGTACAGGTAGTAGCTTCATTATAGGATAGTATAATTTAAAGAAAAATAAACAAGAAAGACAAAGGCATAGAAAGAGCATACACAAAATTAATGATACGTTAACAATGATAGCAAAATAGTCCATTGTCCATTGAAGCTAATTAAGACCTCTGACTATAGTCATAAATGGTAAATGATGAAAATTAAACACTTTGATTTGATTGAATAAATATACAAGCATACTCAATTGGAATAAATCTTTATAGAATTATTGTTAAACTCATAATTATACTTTTTTGGCAATACTTCAGTCTAAGCTTGCATAACATTGCTTATTTACTGTTTGGATCTGTAGTATTATTAGTGTAATATGACTTGAAAGAAGATATTTCTACCTTGGAACTAAAGCATCAGATCTTGTTAATGTTGTTGGGTCCAGTTCAAATATAGAAGCGATTTCATTGCCATGTGGTACTGGGATAAGATGAAACACTTGACCTGAAGCTTTTAATTTGAGTCTCTGAGTATCTTTAGTGGGATCATCATCAACCTGAATACAAAACCCAAATATCTTTAGAAAAATAATATTATATTATATTTTTCTTCCTGAAAAAATATCTCCAACAATACTTTATTATGAAAAAACTAAATGGCCTAAGCTTTCGGACGATCGTCCATCATCAGGGTGATCAGAATAGCAGTTTTTTTCAGTATGAAGCTACCCAGCAACATAACTATCTAAATATATTTTTCTTATTATTATAAAGGGAAGTTGTGTTTGTCTCAATCAAGCTTTGACTCCATATCAATAGCTTTGGTAATGCACTAGCCTCCTTCACAGTACAGTATACTCCAGCAGAAACTGACTGTGTCTTTTTGGTCTTCCTGACATAAGCTTGACCTAGAGGAGCTGGTGTCAAACATTTTTTGACTTAACACAGGAATCCCATGAACTATAGTTAACTGTTGCTAAGGTGACTGGAATGGACTTTATTTAGTTTGCTATCATTTTGCTTTTTTGGGAGGTAGTTGAGGAACTGAAAAACTACAATACTCCAATTTCGAGTTCTGGTTTGCTCTGTGTTAGCCTCAAAACTAAGTAACATATCCTTTTCTTTTATTGATGGCCTGCAAAAACGCATGGAATTTGAAAAGAGAGACAATAGACTTGATATGAAATTTCACACTTYTATTTTCACAATTAGGAATATTTTGTGCGCAAATGAGGCTAACACAGAGCAGTGGAGAATTTGAAACTGGATTATTTAGCTCAATTTTTAATGACATTCCGAAGGCACCTATTAAATCAATCTTTTGCCCAAGAGGAAAGGAGCCCTTTCCTTCTAGARGASGCTAAGAAAAACATATAAGAGCCAAATAACATGGACAGTTACGTGTCTACACTTAACATACCATTATATGGTAATTCAAATACTGCCGAATGCATGGTAGTGTGGAATGRGMACAAWTTTTTATATCCATGCTCYGCCCACTTTTGTCATTAAATTCCTGAAATTCCTTTGTGGTCCRACGTCACCTGTCAACTGTTGTGAMATGTCTTAATAAAATTAGAGTTAATCCACTGCAAATATAATGAAATTCTGACAACATTTGTTCGGTTAGACATATATCACAAATTTCCAATTGTAATTTAATGTAAATGTAAAGAAAGCTTTTAGCAACTTAAACATGACAATCTCCATTTCACACTCCATTTCTACATCGAAAGCACAATGKAATTTCAGGTATTTAAAGTATTTAATGACAAAAGTGGGAGGAGCAGGCATATGTAAATTCAGGCCCATTCCACGCTACAKTGGATTYGGTARTAAAAATATTGATAAAGCATTAGACTATTTTTACCTCTGCTGCYAAGTAATCTCCTGTTGCTAGATGCTTGAATCGAAAAAGAGAATTCCACAGACCAGCCCCACCCCTGCAGGGATCATGTTGTACAACCTTGAAAAATATAAACAACAATTCAGACACCAGTTGTTCACTTGGTAATAAAAGCAATGAAGGCAATCCTTTCATAAGTTTCTATAAGTTAAGCAACTTATATGTTGTATTTATTGCCTACATTTTTTATTTGGTAAAATTATAGCATAGTACAAGGTTGTTCTGAGAACATCCAGAAGAGATTCTATCRATCTTTGAACACAGCCAACAAACAAGTGAGCGTAAAAGCACAAGTGATGCAATAACTTTTAAAAATAACACAACACTTTTAATTTTCAAAATTTGAAAGTCGAAACATGTCTTTGAAATTTAAAAGTGTTGTGTTATTTTTAAAAATTATTCCAGCAAACAAGCAAGTTGCAAGTGAACTCCTTAATATCTGGCATATATGTTGTAGTTCAGGTTCAATATAATTTTGAACCAGTTTAATCTAATTTGTTCCAGTACAAGATTTCTTGTACTGGTCTTTTCTTTTTTTTTTTGCTTTGGCATTCTTAAAAGAACTAAAAGAACTATATCCCATCTCATCCTCTACCATTTTCTATCTATCATCTTATTTTCTACCTTCTACTATTTCCTACTTTATCTTTACCCTATACCCCACAGAAATATTGATATTTTCTATCTATATTTTAAATTTATGAATAACACTTAATACCTTCATCAGGGTTTGAACTACTGAACTCTTGATTCATAGTCCACAGTACTACCAATTATACCATCAAGGATTTTGTTGGTAGTAATGTTTGCAAATTCTTTTTATCTTATAATTGTTATTTATTAATGAAGAAAATCTTTATATAATGCTGGCTCAACCCTATTCCCAACCCTAAACCTAACCCTAAACCTAACCCTAAACCTAAACCTAAACCTAAACCTAACCCTCAACTGATTTGTACTGGGTTGAGTTATATTGGACTGGCTTAAAATAAACTGAACCAGTTCAGAAGAAATTGAACTGGTTCAAAATCATATTGAACCTGAACTAACAACATACTTATATAACAATTATACTCTTGACCATTTAAAAAAATTTAATGTACGTTTCAAAGTCACCTTTGCAGTGTACATCCCCTGCTTCTCAACCAATCAGAGTTGTTAACAATATAGACTTATTAGGAAAATAACCAACCTCCACTTCCCAAAGAGCTTTGGAACTAGTGGCTGATGTTGCTGTCTGTCTAGCTGTAGTACGAAGAAAGACATAAGATTTCTTTTTGTAGTCGTCRCCAGTTAAGAACTTTTCTTGCTCAGCATGGAAGAGACGTACAACATCACCCTGACATTATGAATGAAATAATCAAAAAATCATGACATGTATCAATAGAGGCAAAAAATGTATATACCATCTTGTCACAATGGCAAAAGAGAGCTTACTGAATATCCTCCTACAGACCTGTTTCATCTTGAAAGTTCAACTTACAAGGAATTGTTAAGATGAGACCAATGATTTCAATGAGTGTTTTTAGTTTTATGAGACATAAAAAATCAAGCTAATGACTATGACTTACTCCCTTCAGAATATCTTCATCATTTTCTTCATAAGACAAAAACAGAGAGATTTTCCAACTTGTATTGCAATTAACACAGTTAACCTGTAAGAAAATCCAGTTATTAAAAGGAATCTGAAAAATCAACCAATATAAAATTGTCATGTGGGATATTAGGACCTATAACTCACCTCCTTACAGCCTGGATTGTCAATAAGTTCAAGGTTACTAGCATGCAAAGGCTGACCAGCATTCACTGGATTTAAAATAACCATGTCACCAAGAACAACCTGTGGAAGGAATCATTCAATAAACAAGTTAACCAATGAATAGATCAACAGAAAAACAGATGAACAAATGAATTGGTAAACGAATGAAGAGATGAACAAATGCAAAAATGAAAATATGAACAAATGTTCAAAACRTGAATAAATGTTGAACAGACAWACAAATATGTAAATAAAAAATTAATGAAACAATGAAAAATAAAAGAATAATAGAATTTCCACTTACATTGTCTCCTGCAGCCCTCAACTTGTAGAAAGGTGAAATATAAAACCAAGAGCCCTGTCAAGAACAGAACTTCATTAACATATTAAAAAGAATTTTTCTTTCAATTTCAAWTTCAAATAATTTATTATAACTTTATTAACATGGTTCGGCCATAACATGAACATGTGTTTCATCTTCATGTACTTTGATTATTGTATGCATATCTAGCAATATCTAGAAGATTCAAAAGTGATGAGWGACATACCTCATTGCCATTTGGGTCCAGGGTGACTCTCATGGCATTCTTTTCTCTTAGAGCTGGCAGTCTTTTGTTCACAGTCAGGAACTTGTTGCTTTTAACATGAAGAAGCTAAAAAAAATCCACACTTTCTTTATTTTGTGTGTGTGTGTTTGCCAACTGAAYTTTAAATATTATGTGAAAATTTTCTTTTTGATTTGATTTGAGTTTTGATTAACAGGATTGATACAAAAATGTGTAATTGCAATCTCTTACACTGCGTCAGCCTAAAAACTATGTACTAATATATTCTTTTTAATTCAGACAGCCARAGTGCAAATRCTACAAGAKATCTGCGAGTTAAGACCAACACAGTGTAAAATAGATTGTTATAACTCAACTATTGCTCTATTATTAATGGCATTTTTGTATCAATCCTGTAAAATCAAAACTTTGACACTTTGATACTTTGACAATTAAACCTCCTTTTAAACTCTTTGCTCTAAACAAACTCTGAATATTACTGCTAATAACATCTAAAACAATTAACAATTCGCAGGCGGTTTTCCATTGTCTGTACTCTTATTGACAATGGAATTGACGTCGAAAATGCTCAAAACTCAAGTGGAAGTTTCACTGCAAAGTTTTGAGCATTTCATCTGTCTGTCCTAGGATTGACAACGGCTCTCGACCAATCAGTGCGAGAGAACTCTACAAGTTTAGGTAAGATTCAGTTTTGAAGGAGTTCTGAAATCAGTATGAGAAGGGACAAGAATAAAATTTCCCTCCCCTGAGATTTGTACATGTACCTGAATAACACTTCCGTACTGCACAATGCTGCCAAGCATCTTTTTGTACTCTGTTTCATTTTGTTTYTTTTCAAGTTCTGCTGCATGCTGTTTATTTGGAAAACAAATGATAAGTAAATCAAAATAAGTACAAAAAATTCACCAAGAAACCAATTTTTGATTAAATGAAATAAATATCAACACTGACAATAGAGTTCAACTGAAAAATGATAATATATTATAAAAAAAGAAAACAGTAATAAATAAAAATCGAAAATAATATAAAGTTATTATTCAATGCTGGTCAAATATTTTGCATAATTTGCATAATTATATTTTATATTATTTGAGCATTTCATAATTCATAAATCTTTCTAATACATACATTTTACATTACATTTAAAAAGATGTAATATAATTCACATCTTATTGCAAAATTTCCTTGACATTAATAAATTGAGTAGCAGACTAATATATATTGTTATATTGGTAAATTATTTTCACTGTTTTCTCGCTCTCTTATTGGACGATTCGGTGTCACGTGTCCGGAGCTAAAATCAACTGTTGACTGATCGGTTGTTGACCGCTTGGCCATTGGCAGGAAAAGGCCGCCTCGCGTCGAATAAAAGTTTGTAAAGGCGGGAATGGTTTTTGCTGCTTTCGACTGTTTACAAAATGGAGCCAGCATCAAAAAAGATTTTCAAATCTTAGTCAAGAAATAGACGAAATGGTTGTCAACAAAGACTTGGAAAACACTAACAAAGCTACAAAGACTGCTTTGGCTACGACTCTGATAGAATTCTGCAGAGAAACCAAGAGAGAAACGGTGAATTTGGACAAATGTCACGTTAAATTTCTATTCAGGAACTCATTGACTGTTTCATTCATAAAGTTTTTCTAGTTTTTTGGCATTTGTATATTTATATTATTTTTATTTTCAAGCACAATGCAGTAATCTAAAGGCTCAACATCTTGCTATTTTGTCGCGATGTTCACAGTTATTACATTCGCAATAATGAATAAAGTATTATTGGAAATCATCTTGCAATGTGTTTTGATTTATTTTTTTCACATAATTTACCAATATAACAAAACACTTAATGACTGTTCCCTTGGGAAACGGTTAGTTTTGTTTCCCGAGAATCTCAATGTTTCCCGTACCTCGGGAACAGTCATTAAGTACATATTATATAATATTAATTAATAAACAAAAGAAAATTCCCACTCACTTTTCTATTTTAATAAATTCCCAAATCCTTATCATTTTCTGTTCCTACAATTTACTTGTTCAATTTGGTAGGTCTAGACAGCATGTAAATAACATTCTCTCAATAATACAGATTTGTCATCTAGTAAAATTGTCACCAGATATTGAATCTTCAACCTTTTTATAWATAATCCCTTTATTTCCAGATGAATCTAAATTAAGATTTCATGATTGTAGACAGTTCATTTGGATCTATTGGACAGAAATTKTTATGCTATTATCATGATAAACAATCACCAAAGAACTCAAATTGTAGGCTCTATTTTCAACAAGTCACTTAGATTGACGTGGGAATTTCAATGTTCTATTCAATGATCGATGAATATATTGTTAAAATGAATGTCTGAGATATATCTAAGAAAACAACTACAATACAGTACTCTTGTAGAGAGACAGTGTACTATTAGTCCATTAGTAACATGAATATCATAAATATTTAAATAGTTTTTAGATTTGGCTTAAAGGCGTTATATTACAAACAAGTGTTAAAAAGAAATAATCTTCCCTTCAAGCTAAATACCACCATGATATATTGTGAAATATAATAGTAATTACAGAAACAAATGAAAAAGAAAATAAATCCAATATGAAAAAGAAAGCTTTTATCAGAAAGTGTGAGGTAGCTCACATTATGTGCACTTAGAAATCATAMGTCACAGTATGGCCACTTTAAAAATCACAGAAATCAAACTGATTTGGGTAAAGCAAACAATAAGTAGCAAATCAATAACACACACAAAATAACCAATATATAAGCTTGAAGCCAAAATAAACTTATGTCTTTATGTTTTCAATCGACATTTTACATGACAAGAATGAAAACATTTATGTTAGATATAATCAAATGGTGAGGATTTGAATGTAAGCTAATGCAAGGTTTTTTGATTTTGTAAATGATAATTCCACTTGTGATGTTAGAATGACAAGAATGCTTATAACAGGATGCACTTGTTTGAACTTCCAATATAAACTTCCCTTGCCTTTCTTTACTCTAATAAATGACACCAAAAGTAACCTCCTTCTTTCTGAAAACAAGGCTTAGAATTGAGACAAAGATGAATTTATGCTACTTGTAGATTAAGTTGTGAATCAGTCACTCTTGATTTAGTAAATTTAAATTTGTTTTCAAGAGCCAATAGGAAAGGAACAGGCACAAAAGAAAAGTCAACAACAAGCACAATCTCATAAAAACATCACACATTGTAAACAAAATTAGAAGAGAAGCAAACAAGACCTTTGGCTGAGATGAAAGAGTCCAGACTTAATGAGTTACGCACAGGAAATACATGTAGACTGAACATTGGAGGACATATTCTTTTTAAAAACCAAAAACCAAAACAAAACAAAGAGATACAATCTATGCTTGATGAACTAAATTGAATTCAGAGATAGTGAAATAGTCACATGACTCCTGAACTAGTGAAATTGATAATCACTTCTGTATTATGTCATCAAATCAGCAATAATCCTTAATTTATCTTAATATATTATTTCATAATTAAATCAGATCAGTTAACAGAAAATTAAGTTATTCATCAATGATTCAATCAGTCAATCTGTGAGTGAGTGAGTCAGTCATAAATGTGCTAATTATCTATTCAGTCAATCTGCACATCAATCAAAATTTATCATTCAGTGAATCATTCAATCAGTCAAACAATCAGGCAGTTACTAATCAATCAGTCAAACAATAAGCCAATCCATTAATCAAAGAGTCATAAACAGTCAGGGAATCAATGATTCAGTCACTTAATAAGTCAGTCAGCCCAAAAACTTTCAAAGCTTCATTAAAGAACAGATCAAGAAGTCCAACAATCAATCTGCCAATTTTTTGATGAACAGTCAACTTCCTGGACAGATCAGTCAGTCAGTTATGCAATCGTGACTCACTTAGTCAGTCTGTCAATCATTCATAGCTAAGATCAGTTTTTCACTCTATCACTCGCTCAATCAATCAACCAACCAACCAATCAATCATTTGATCAATCAATCAATCAACCAATCAATCATTTGATCAATCAATCAATCAACTAATCAATCATTTGATCAGCAGTCAATCAATCAGTAAGTCAATCAGTAAGTCAATCAGCACTCATTTAATCAGTCACTTACTCAACTGATTATCCAGTCTGTCAATCAAGGTCAGTGATACAATCAATCAATCAACCAATCAATCATTTGATTCAATCAATTACTTAGTCAGCCAACAACTCATTCACTCAATCTGTTAGTCAATAAGTCAACCAGCCAGTCAATGCATTGATGACGATCAGTTGTTGGAGAGTCGGTTAAATTACAAAAGTATTGATCAACTGCATGAATTTTATATATTTTTATATATTTGAATATTTGAATAAATGATTACTCCACGGTAGCTAGTTGTCCATGAGCTATTTAAATGAGGACAATTTTTCAGTATTTTCTTTTTTTTTCTTTTTTATTATTAATATTTTACTTTATTCTATCATATTCAAAAAAATACAACAAAAATGGATTGAAACAGATCAGATCAAGATGGTTTATAATAGATTCCCCAAATTGAAAGATATAGTGATTGCTATCAAAAAGATTATGAACTAACAACTATTATGACCACATAATGGAGCAGATGGCAGAGAAAAACTACASAGCTTAATGAATACATACACTCCAGAGTTGGAAGGTGATTTAAGCATTATGTTTGAGCTCTCAAAGAAAGGATTTTCATCATAAATGCATGCCAGATACCATCTCTACTCCAAGTGTCATTAACAAACCCATCTCAAATTGATGGTTTTTTTTACAGTGTGTTTCCATTTCTCGGTAATCTAAGGATATCTCATAGCCTAACGTTATTGTTTCTCTGTTTTGGTATGCTAATGCACAAAAACAAGTTTGAGATGTGCTATTCTGCAGCCAATCTTCGACTCATTAAAATACATATATGAATAACAATTTTTTGAACATCTGTTACCAAAGAAGAGTATTTTTGACTATATTAATTTGTATGTAAAGATTTCTCAATTAACATTTTTCTGCTWTGGGTTTTTCTTTGACAATGGAAATTTTGATTGCATTTTTATACAACRTTTTCATTGATCAAAATTGCTTAAATAAAGTAGTGCTGTGTTTCTGTATAAGCAGAGATAACATAATAGGCCAGAAAATTTCTTTCTCAGATATTTTACCAGTACTTATTATTCAAGATTTGAAATTATAATAGTTATTTGTTCTCCAGMTAAGATAGCCCTTAGCATTTCTTCACAGGGAAAGTCATTCAAATTTCCCTTTTATTGCCTGAAGCATTTTGAAGTRCAGAATAAATGCAATGAATTTTTCTCTCAAATAATCTTTCATTTGAGACAAGACAGGAAAAATGAAATTAATACCTCGCCACGGTGAAAAGAATAGCGATTTATATTTCAGAATAATAAATCAAGATTAAAAAATAAATGCTAGCCGGGAAATGGGAATTGTATTAGCTCGGTTATTTCTCCCTAAAAGCCAGTCAAAAAACCTTGAGTCGCAATTATATTGAGGGACGTTAAAAATGTAATGTCGCTATTTTTAAAGCAGTTCTGGATGCTTTACCAAACTAGAAATAGACGCCATTTCAGGAAATTGAATTAACGCTACAGCGCTGGMGAAGATCAACAATAAAAAATTTACTTTCGTATTCGTGTTCCTGAAKAGAAAAAATCGARAAAMATTGATGTAGCATCAAATACAGCTAAWACGTTACCTTTTCTWTAAAMTGCTTTTTAATAGACTTACATTGCCCAAATAAAATGTCAAAACAGAGTTTATTCCCRCTATTTTGAAMATGAAAATTATGGTTCATAGAATAATTAATTTCCCGTGCGGTTGGATGACTTTAGACGGGTCATATAAATTTCAGGTCATRGCAATTTTAGATAAAGAAATTATACAACATTTGAACACGGAAGATAAAATGGCGTATTGAGATTTCCAATATCACAAAGATAACATTATTTGAGGGCTTACATGCAATTTCTTTAGTAATACTGCATCTGTGGCAGAGGTGGTCGGCTTTGCAGCTTTCCAAAACTGCTTTTGCGCAGAATACCTATTCATAGGGCATATCTTAAACAAGCAATCTGAAACGAAAGAAGAGTAAAGTTAAGAGAAAGCACAACAGTGCGAGAAGGAKAACTGATCCAGATATTAACGTCTAARTCCATTGTAAATCTTACCGCGAAATTTCTTCGGTGGATTAGAAAGATCACCAGCATTAGGCTGTACAACACACCGATCATCTATAAGGCTGTCAAAAGAACATGCAAACCTTAGCTGATTTCTCTTAAAGATTTATYAACCAGAACTAAAGTCAGACAATATACACTCCATCTTATCTAGGACCTTACCCTAGAGTGCTAATAAAGCCATTGACATTCCCCTCGGCGTACAGTGATGTTATATCTCCAATGTGAAGAAAGCAAGTTTGTTGGGCCATTTCTCTCCCCCAGGTAAACCTTCCCAATCTTTCTAAATTGTCAAAAACAGAGTGCAGGTTGTAGATGAAACGGCCATGGTCGTTGTTAGGTCGTTACAATTCCATTAGCAGCTCTACGTAGGAATTTGTTGAGAAAGCAAACAAAAGAAGGAAGGTATACACTTCACTTTCTCCCTCCAAAAAACATTCATATCCTCGAGGCCGTTTGGACTGGGTCTAGTCGGATGCGAATCAATTAGGGAGGGGTGGTAGAAGATTACATCTAAAATTTATAAGTGAGAAAAACCACATAAAAAAKCCCCGTAATTTAAACTGAAATGAAACGTTTGAAGTCTTTATTAYTTTAATGTACCAAGGCGAAGTTCTAAGCCTGACTTATTTAATTATTACAAATATAAATATTTTATATTTTTCCCCATAATCTACCTTAGGGGGTGAGGGTCAGGTTGTTGGTTCMGYATTCGTGTCATCGAGTGAGTTGTTAGGTCTGCTTCCTTGTCATAGATTCAATTTAAGTGATATTTTTGTTAGATTGCCTTTTTAWCATTGTTTAATCTTGGTATTTTGCTAAGAATTGYCTTTGTTTGCAACTATTTATTGTGAAAGCAAACGCTTTAACAAAGATGTACTCCCAAATTCGCCGCCTTCACTCCAGTCGATGCCTTGGTTCGAATCTTCGTTCTGATGCAGTAAGGATATTTCGTTCTGCTTTAAAAGCAGTTACGCCTCAAGAAATGGTGAAAAATAGCTTGTCTCTGAACAAAACAAGACTTCTTGTCAATAACGACTYCGAGTATTTGGTCTATAAAAACGTTTATGTTGTCGCATTTGGCAAGGCGGTCCTTGGAATGGCAAGAGCTGTTGAAGATGTGTTGGGACCCAAAAATATTGTCCGAGGTGTTGCCAGTATTCCTTGTGGATTACAAGACGCCATTAAGGTACACCCACACAACTATTTGTAAATAATTATAAGCGCTAACAGAGCTAATTACGTGCCAGACGAATTATTGTAAAGCCCCTTCCTCATAAAGAGAACTGCACTCTTCTTTAACATTGTATGYAATGTCAGTGTTTAGCTCAGAGTAACAATGGCTGGCTATTCACTAGCCAGACAGCTTTGCAGACAGAAGATTGTTAAATTGAGTATAGAGGTGTTGTGTAATGTACAGTGCACATATGCAAAGCAATAAAAAAATATGATAATTATAATTAATTTCTATCGACATCAGACCATAAACAGTTGTTCTAGACCTCTACCTTTTGCACAATTCTGTATGAATTTTAAAGACTGAAGTTCTTTCTTACACAAATTTCATGGAAACCTTCTTGAAAATGTGACTAGGTACACTCCAAAGTAATTACAGAATAAAATAACTCCCTTTGTAGTAGACTGTCATGACTGCAGACATGACAGTCCTGAAGGTGTCAGTTATAATGAGAGTGGGACCTGTATTTTACAACGCCAATGAAAGGAACCCTATCCTATATTGCTATATAGAAAGACCTATATAGTATGGGAATCATGTGAAAGGTGTTACTAATCAGTTGCAATAAAATAATTGTACACTATTCAACTTGTCTCTCTGAAATTCAAAAGGATTCTGGAAACGAGTATGAAACAAAGTATATTTAATTTTATCAAAAACTGAACGTCACCACATGAAAAAACATATTTATTACAATTAGTGTTAATGTCAAGTTTGAGCCTATTCGGTTGAATACTCGTCAAGTAACAAGTTTTTGAAATTTGCAAAAATAGGAGAAAATATAGTTTTTGAAATTTGCAAAAATAGGAGCAAATTAATATAGTTTTGGGGAATGCTGTCTTAAAGTCCCATACATTCTTATTATTTTTTGGATATTTAAATGCTTGCCAGTGTCTATAATTATTTAATATCCAAATTCGTACACTCAAACTCAGGAGGTATACTAATTTTAGTATAAAATGGCTTGAGATCCATTTCTTGATTATTTCAAACATCTTTTAGTCTGGGACTAATAACCAGTTCCCTTTTTGAGTTTCAGATTCAAAAAAGAAAACATCTTAGCTCTTTGCCAAAATAACTTTATATATTCATATGTTTTTAACAGAATTCAGGMAATGAAGAATTCATTCGCAATACTCTACTGAAAGATGGCAGTCCTATCAATGTCATAGAGGGGGCTGCACATAATCTTCCAGATGAAAGGTCGCAATATGCAGCAAATCAAATCCAGAAGATTGCAGAAAGTGTGAAGGAGGATGATCTTCTTATTGTYCTGATCTCTGGAGGTGGTTCTGCTCTCTTGCCATCACCAGTTGATAAGATTTCCCTGGACGATAAGCTTAAGACCATCAAAGCTGTTGCTTCAAGCGGTGGTGATATTGTTGAACTGAACACCATTCGTAAGAACCTTTCAAAGTTGAAAGGTGGGAGGCTAGCAGAGATTGCATACCCAGCAAAGGTAAGGTTGATTGAGTCTCCACCTGGGACTATTAAAGTAATGGCTTTTCAGAAACAAAGTAAAATCAGAAAGAGTTGTTAAAAAAAACTCTCTTGCAGAAGTTCAAAAGTAAATTTATTTATTGTTTTTTTTCTGTTTTATTATATTTTTCTTACCTTTATGATTTTATATTTTGGGAGACTTGAGTATGGATGTCAGCATTTGAGAAWTAAGCAGTAA